GGACTTCAACTCCCAGAGTGCCCCAGCCAGACAGCAAGGCGATAACCGACTGGCTTAGCGAGGGAAGTTCTGATCCCGATTGGCGTCGTAAGCCGAGGACTATTTGTACTTTGGCTCAACGTGGGTGAGGGAGGGGTGCCTGCTGCTCTCTGATCTTCATTGCTTTTATTTGCAGATGTTTCGTGACCCAGCTAGTGAACGTCATCAGGGCTAGAAGGGAGGGCAGTTTCAAGCCCTGATGATGTCCCCTAGTTGGGTCATGAAATGTCTGCGAGAAAACAATCAAGCTCAGAGAGCACCAGGGATCCCACAGTTCTCCTCTCCCTTCTAGCATTGATGATGTTTGCTAGTTGGGTCATAAAATGTCTGCAAGAAAACAACCAAGTGTAGACACCTCCAAGGACCCCACAGTCCTCCTCCTCCTCCATCTCCCTTCTACCACTGATGATGTTCCCTACTTGGGTCATGAAACGTTTACGAGAAAACATCTAAGCTCAGAGACATCCAAGGACCCCAGAGTCCTTCCTTCTCCTCCTCCTCCTCCTCCTCTTCCCCACAAACCCACTCCCTTCTAGCACTGATGATGTTCCCTAGTTGGGTCATGAAACGTCTGCAAGAAGACAACCAAGCTCAGAGAGCACCAGGGACCCCACAATTGTCGTCATCCTCCTCCTCCTTCCTTCTAGCACTGATGATGCTCCATAGTTGGGTCACGAAACATCAGCCAAAAGAGGACCCCACAATTCCAAACAATTGGACTAGATCCATCTCCAGCTTCCCGTCCAAGTTTAGCATGCGACAAATGCTCTTCTGCCTCTGACCTTCTTTGCGCTGTCCCGCACAGGTGGCTGTTAGAGGTCAATGCCTCGCCTTCTCTGACCGCTAGCAGCCTGGAAGACCATGACCTCAAGACACGCCTCTTGGAAGACACACTGAACATCGTGGACATGGAAGCCCGGTGAGTAGAGCACGGAGACAGCGGGGGAGGCGTTTCCACCCAGTTTTTCCACCCCTGACATCAGGAGACACCAAGAAAGCTTTCAAAACATTGAGCCAACTTCGTGGCTGCCCTGTTGTTTCTTGCATTAAACCAAGATCTGACCATACATGACCAGTCAGGCTGGCCATCTTCAACCTGGTCCTTTCCAGATAGGCAGAGGGGGCCAGGTTGTTCACCAAAGCATCGGAGGGCAGGACGAGAAGCAACGGATGGAAACTGATCAAGGAGAGAAGCAACCTGGAATCAAGGAGAAACTTCCTGACAGTGAGGACAATCAACCAGTGGAACAGCTTGCCACCAGAAATCGTGGACGTTTTTATTTAGTTGATAACAATAAAGATTGTACTACTGTATACCATTCCAGACAAATAGTTGCCCAATCTCTTCTTGAAGACCTCCGGTGATGGATCAGCCACAACTTCTGGAGGCAAGTCGTTCCAATGGTTAATTGTCCCCACTGTCAGAAAGTCTCTCCTTGGTTCCAGGTTGTTTCTCTCCTTGATCAGTTTCCATCCGTTGCTTCTTGTCCTGCCCTTTCATACTTTGGAGAAGAGGTGGACCCCCCTCCTCTTCTTTGTGGCAGCCCCTCCAATATTGGAACTCTGCTATCCAGTCACCCATAGTCCTTCTTTTCATTACACTACACATACTCAATTCCTGTAACCGTTCTTCGTATGTTTCAGCCTCCAGTACCCTGATCATCTTTGTGACTCTTCTCTGCATTCTTTCTAGAGTCTCAACATCTTTTTTATATCATTCTACTAGCTGAACCCGGCCACGCGTTGCTGTGGCTCAGTCTGGTTAAATGGAAAAGAAAGAAAAGAGAAAGCGCACGTTTGTGTTGCTTTTACGTCCAACAGATGGAGCTGTTTTTCAAAAAAAGCATGTTTTTACCTGTCACAGGTGTGACATCTATATAATATAGGTATATAAAAACACGCGCGTATTCGAATGCAACGTTGTGTCAAAATTTCAAAGCAATCGGTGAAGAACTTTCGGAGATTTAAGATTTTGAACAAACGAACATTTACATTTTTATTTATATAGAGAATAGATATTCTATTCTAAACATGGGAGATGGATGGCTACACAGACTCCCTTGCTCCAGAATGAAAGGCAGACTAACATATTTGGAAGGGACCTTGGAGGTCTTCTAGTCCAACCCTCTGCTCAGGCAGGGAACCCTATACCAGGGGTCCCCAACCCTGTACCAGGCCGCAGCATGCCAGCAACCGGTCCACACAAACAAGCAAAGCCCCATCCGCGGGATGCAGGCAGCACACAAAACCACACATCCTCTGGTGCGCAGAAAAACCTCTCTCTACGTAACCGGTCCCTGGTGCCCAAACGTTTGGGGACCTCTGCCCTATATCTTCGAGACCGCCTCCTGCCGCAGATTACCTCCCATCGGCCTGTACGCTCCCACAGAGTGGGTCTCCTCAGGGTGCCGTCGGCCAGACAGTGCCGGCTGGCGACCCCAAGGGGGAGGGCCTTCTCTGTGGGAGCTCCCACCCTCTGGAATGAACTACCCCCAGAGATCAGGGTGATCCCTGATCTCCCTTCCTTC